CTGAAATTCTATAATGGAAGAATTTGACAGACCCACCAATGAAGCAGGAGGCTGCTGGTTCAAAAGGATGTGTTCAGTTTAAATGACCACCAAAGGCCAGATAATGAACAAAAAAGAAAGAATCTTTGAAAATATAACGTGCATTTCTGTCACCTCCCACTGTGGGGAGAATTTTGAGTGTACTTTGCTTTTCTGTGGATTTAATGATCTCTATGCAAATATCCTCAGATTTATATTATCTAGACCTAACTCCTCTCCTGAGCTACTCTCCTTTCATCACATGCCTTCTGGACATCTCAAATTCAAGATCTAAAACAGAATTCATTCAAATATTTTCTCCCAACTTTTCTTTCTCCCCAACTGCCCTATTACTGTTAGGGGTACTATCCATCCTCCCAGTCACCCAGATGTGCCACATTGGCATCATTCTTGACTTCTCATTCTCATTCCTCCCATGCAGGCAATCCATTGTCAAATCCTGTCATTTTGGGCGTAGCTAGGTGGCGCAGTGGATAGAGAATCAGCCCCAGAGTCAGGAAGACCTGAGTTCAAATCCAGTCTCAGACCAGACACTTGACACTTACCAGCTGTGTGACCCTGGACGAGTCACTTTACCCCAACTGCCTCGCAAAAAAAAAAATCCTCTGATTTCTACCTTCACAACAACTCTCTTCTCTCACAGTCATGACCATACGTCAGGCCCTCAGCTCCTGGTAGCCCTATCTAAAGTCCTCTCCTTTCCAATCTATCCTCCACATAACTACAAAGATGATTCTTCTATTTTTTGAATGCTTATGTTAGACCTCCCAGCTCACTAAATAACAGCAGCTCCCAATTTCCCCAGGATCAAGTACAAACCCCTCTGGCATTGAGAACCTTCAGAAACTGGCCCCTTCCTACTTTTCCCAGTCTTCTCTCCATACACTCAATGATCCAACTCCATTGGCCTACTTGCTGTACTTCACTTAGTACCCTCCATCTCCCACCTCCATGCCTTTGCACAGGCTATCCTCCACGATTGGAATGGTCTGTCTCATAACCTCTGGCTTCATTCAAGACTCAGCTCAGAGGCCTTTTCTGATCTTTCCCTCACCCCTCCCCACTATAGCCTTGCCCACTGAGTTTACTTCTGCGAAAAATGATTTTTCTAAATTATATGTATGTAGATAGATAGATAGATAGACAGACAGACAGACAGATAGAGGGCACAGGGTGAGTCGAAGATGAAGATGATATCTGGAGAATAAAATTAAGGGGTGAGAGAGGATTATACTGGGAGGAGGAGAAAGGGAGAAGTAGAATGGGGTAAATTATCTCACATGAAACAGACAAGAAAAGTCTCTTACAGTGGAGGGGAAGCAGGGGAAGGTGAGAGGGAATGAGTGAATCTTATTCTCATCGGATTTGGTTTAAGGAGAGAATACCACACTCAATTGTGTATGGAAATCTATCTGACCCTACAGGAAAATAAGGGGGTAAGGGGACAAGAGAGCAGGGGGATGATAGAGGGGAGGGCAGATTGGGGGAGGGGGTAATCTTCAGAAGCAAATGCTTCTGAGGAGGGACAAGATCAAAAGAGAGAATAGAATAAATGGGGGGTTGATAGGATGAAGGGAAATATACTTAGTTTTTCACAACATGACTATTGTGGAAGTGTTTTGCATGACTACACGTCTATAACCTGTATCGAGATGCTTGCCTTTTCAATGAGGGTGAGTGGGGAGGGAGGAAGGGAGAAAATTTGTAACCCAAAGTTTTAAAAACACGTGTTAAAAAAAAAATTGTTTTCGCATGCAACTGGGAAATAAGAAATAGAGGAAATGGGGTATAGAAATCTATCCTGCCATACAGGAAAATTGAAGGGGAAGGGGATAAGAGAGGTGGGGGGGAGGGAATAGAAGGGAGGTTAGATTAGGGGAAGGGGTATTCAGAATGCATGCCATCTTGGGGTGGGGGGAGGGATGAGATAGGGAGAAAATTCGGAACTCAAAATCTTGTGGAAGTGAATGTTGAAAACTAAAAATAAATATAAAGAAAAAGAAAAATGATTTTTTAAAGTAATCATTATGTTGGAGTTTTCCTCATGTGAGAAATGAAAGAGTTAAATTTCCACATAAGTAGATAAGAAATCAGCACAGACAGGCTTACTTCTCAGTCTTGGGGGAGGGGGGGGAGAGTGATAACACAATTCTATGCACATAATGTATGTTAAGGGTGGGGCATATAAGGAAGATTGTAACCCAGAAGGATTAGGACCAATCCTGATCCAGAAGGGAGGAGTTAGGCAATTACTAACTATAAAACTTGCCCTTCCAAGGAGGTGTGGCTGCTTCTGTCCAGAATTGAAAGGACACACCTCAACCTCCTTGATAAAAAGTCTTTGAGACATCAGTCTTCGGAACTAAGTCTGGGGTCTTCTTTAGAACACCCATCCTCCTTCCAAAGTTCAGTTTCTTCTTCAGAAGGACATTATTGATAATGAGGTTGCATTGAGTCTCCTTATCCTGGTCAACTCCACAAACCAAGCTACTTCCTTAACCAGAAACCAACCCAGGCCCAGCACTAATCTAATGGATATATTCCTGCTCACTGTGTTGCTCAGACAGGTCTGGGAAAATGTTGATTCTCCCTATTGTCAAGACAGGTGATATAGAAATTGATATCTCTTTGACCAAAATTTAGGTGTCCTAAGTCATGTATCTCAAGACCCTTGTTTTAATATAGCCCACCTCCCAGTGTGTTAACCAATCAGAGTTGATTGGCACCCCTCAGAACACCTACTCTTCGAAAGATATATAAACTATGTACCCAACCCCCAAATTAGGCCCTCAGTTCAAAACCGTTAGCTTCCATGCAAGCTATGACTGCTTGCTTTGAGAGAAATTAAAAGCATGGACACAACCTAATTTCATTTGTCTTTTTTTTTCCTTGAGGCAATGTGGTTAAATGACCTGCCCAGGGTCACACAGCTAGTAAGTGTTATGTGTCTGAGGCCAGATTTGAACTCAGGTCCTCCTGGATGCAGGGCCAGTGCTCTATCCACTGCACCACCAAACTGCCCTCATTTGTCTTTCTTAAATAAACTTGATGAGGTTGACACTTTCTATCTATTTTGAATATATTTTCTATGTACCTTTAGTGACGTATGTCTTGTTTTCACCATTAAAAGTGGAAGCTTCTTGAAGGAAGGAAGTGTTTTTATTTTATTTTTGTTTGGTTTGTCTTTTGCCACTCTTAGTATCTCTAATGCTTAGCACAGTGCCTGGCCCATAGTAAGAGTTTAATAAATGCTCGTTGGCTGAATGACCAACTGAACAGTGAACTGAAATGATAGCTGAAATGGTCTTATCTTTCAGGTCCCTACTCTAAGGCAGGGATTATTTTGTAACAAGTGCTTATGGTAGCTATGATATCCTAAAATAGGTACTTCATGTCCCATTTCAAAAAGAGACGTAAGTATGAATAACAAAGATAACACAGAGATGGCATTTACATTTAACCAGGCTGTGGAAAAATCCGTCTACACAGATGGCTTAGGAGGCAAAGAGAGTGAGAAGAGAAAGACCCCCATGGCTCACAGGGTACTGAGTTGAAGACCTGTTGTCTGAGGGCCACTTTTGGACAACACTGCTAGCAAAGCCCTGTCTTACATTCAGCACCTTGCTTCACATGGAGCTGGAGAATGTCATTGTCATGGCCCTACATACTAAGAAGAAATGGAGGGAGGATACTTTCAGCTCAACAACACAGAATATCTATTTATTTGCATTTATCACTGAGATCACAGATGGCTAAGAAACTGAAATCTGGGATGAATTTCTAGAAAATTTTTCTCTGCCCCAAAGAGAGCACATTTTTGTCATCTCTAAATGATGACTTCCTAACAGGCATGAGAAAAGGAGGCATCATGGTATGGCTCAGTAGTTAACCTGAAACTGCAATACTAAATTAGGAGCAAGAATTGGATGGCTATGCACTGGCAGTCTAGCTTTGACAAATGAGTTGTGTGTGAGACCATTCACTGGGTGGTAGTCCACAGAAAGGCTTTGGGGTAAACAAGAGAGAATGTCAGCACTAGAAGTGAACTTAGACAAAGCATACCAGTGAATAGCATGCTGGAATTGTAGTATTAAAAAGACCTGGGTTCCAACCTTGCTTCTGCTGTGTGACCCTGCTGAAGTCACTTCAACTCCCTGAGCCTTAGTTTCCTTATCTGAAAAATAGAATAATAACTGCAGCTAATTCACAAGGTTATTGGGAGGATCAAATTGTGAAAAGGGCTTGCCAGTCTTTAAGAGTTCTATACATAGGAGCTGTTATTAGGTGGTGGTAGGGCACAGTAGAAAGAACACTGGAGGGGCAGCTAGGCGGTGTAGTGAATACAGCACTGACCCTGGAGTCAGGAGGACCTGAGTTCAAATCCAGCCTCTGACCACATAACACTTATTAGCTGTGTGACCCTGGGAAAGTCACTTAACCCTACTGCCCAGTCAAAAAAAAAAAAAAAGACTTAGGACACGTGCTGCCTAGAATTCCTGTCTTGGAGTCAGGAGGACCCAAGTTCAAATCCGGCCTCGGACACTTGACACTTACTAGCTGTGTGACCCTGGGCAAGTCACTTAACCCTGATTGCCTCACCAAAAAGCAGAAAAACAAACAAACAAACAAACACTGGATCTGGAGTCAAAGGCTGGGGCGGGGAGGTGTTCAGGACCTGCCTCTACCACTGCAGTTCCTTAGGTGAGTCATATCTCCTCTCCAGGCCTAAGTTTCCTTCTCTGTAAAATAAGGGCATTGATTTAGGTGACTGCTAAGGTCCTTTTCTTCTCAAGATCTGTATCTGTGAGAAACCCAGGCCTTACTCTTTTGTTTTAGAAATGGGGAACCTGAGGCCCAAAAAGATACAGGCATTTGCCCAAGGCCAAATAGCTAGTTAAAAGAAGAACTCATAGAAGAAGCTCAATCAGTAGTTGATTTAATTTCCAGTTCAGTGTCTTTCCTACTATATCAAAAATTAGGACAAAAGGGATCTTCCAGTCAGGAAACTTGAGCCTGACGTCCTCTTGGATCTCTTGATTCTGTGAGAGGCCATTCCTAAGAGAAAGGAAGTTTAAAAACAAGTATTTCATCAATTGGGCTCCAGAAGTCTTTATCTTTCACTAAGAAAGGGAATAGAGGGGAAGAAAGGGGAGAAAATGCTGCTGATGACATAAATCCATGTAGCTTTTGGAATGTGAGGCTCAAAGATAAATGCCCACTGAAGAAGGCAGGCAACAAAGGGGATTTGTCTTTGGGGGGCATTTTCCTTGAGGTATGTTATGAATAACTTTTTACTTTCTTTAGGGAAAGTTCCCACCACCTGCCATTCCCAGCAAGCCTCACTCTTCCCCTATTCACAGTCCTTTGTACAAAGATTACACAATTGGATCTTCAAACGTAGTCATAACTCAGTCTATTCACATCTATTGTTCTATTACTTTCCAAAGAACTTCCCTTAACTAGAAAGGAGACAGACATTCTTGCTCCCCACAGGACTGATGGAAAGCTGTGACTCCAAATGACCTGAAGCCTGATCACATGGGTAGTTCTGACTTAAGGGCTCAACTCAAAGCAGAGCCTCATTTCTCACTCTTGTCCTTCTCTTGGAAATGCCATGGGATGTCTACCATTACCATGGTCACTCTGTTGTACAAATGTAGCAGTGGGCAACAGGCTAGCGCTTTCTTCCTAGCTATTTGCCTTCAGTTAGGTTGTGTCACCACCAGGCAACAAGAAGTGATGCCTTTCAAGACTAGACAGCCTGGCTTCAGCCACAGGTGTGTGCAATGTCTGTTGAGTACTGGGCTCTCATCTCACTGCAGGTGAGAGGCAGTGTATTGGAGAGGGAAGAAGGTGGATCTTGGAGTCAGAAAAACCCAGGTTCAAGTCCTCCTTCTGACTGACCTCTCAGCACCCCAGGATGCTCTCTAAGACTATTAGATTGCTAAACTCAATCCACTGAAAGGGGTTCCCCACATTGATGAAATCACAGGTGCAGGCCCGTGTGCATACACACATATACATGTATGCATGTGTGTGTATATGTAAACACATACATATACAAGTTAACATCATATATGCATGATATATGCATAATGTATAAAACATATGTGTCATGTGTTTTCTGGAGCACCAAGAATGGCTTTCTCTGAAGTCTGAGCTCTACCATTAGCATTTAGTTTGAGTGGTTTAGGCCAGATACAGGCCTTGGTAAAAATGCAAATGCTCCTGGGAGAGGTAATACATTAAGCCCTATTACTCATTTATACTGTAGTGTGAATTCATTCATCAGATGCTTTCCTAAGAGCAGGTTTGCCTTTAATCATTTTTGTGTATTCGTGGACCCCTTTGGCAGCATGGTGAAACTATCTATAGATCCTTCTCAGAATAATGTTTTTAAATGCATGAAATAAAATACATAAAAGAAGGAAGGAAGGAAGGAAGGAAGGAAGGAAGGAAGGAAGGAAGGAAGGAAGGAAGGGAGGGAGGAGGGAGGGAGGGAGGGAGGGAGGAGGGGGGAGGAGGGAGGGAGGAGGAAGGAGGAAGGAAGAAGGAAGGAAGAAGGAAGGAAGGAAGGAAGGAAGGAAGGAAGGAAGGAAGGAAGGAAGGAAGGAAGGAAGGAATTTATAATTTTCATATTAATCGATATGATATGTGTCATGAATATACTAATAGTTTCATTTTCTCAAGAGCTGCCTTTCTGGCTCAGGAGTCAGAGCTCATGATGCAGCTTAAATTGATCAGTCAAAACTCTGACAATGCTCACAATCACTGGACCTTAAGTGAAGTGAATCAAAGATTGTAGAACCTGCTCCCGTCACAGAACTTGTATGTAGTTCTGTATGTTAGGGGAGGTGGTCACAACCCCCAAAGACGACTCCAGAATTGTATTGTGGGATTTGTGGGTTTCTAGTGGGAAACCACTAAATGATTGTTTGTAATCTACCTTCCCCAGTTATGATTTAAATATATAAGCTGTGCTTTTACTTCAGCTAAAAAGAACATTCCTCACTCACTACTTGATTATTGGCATTGCCATCTCTGGGTCTGCTTTGTGTGGCTCCAAGCATTCTCAGGTTGGAGACTGGCTCAGTAAAAATCCTGTTAACAGAAGCAAAGAAGGAGGAAGCATTTTTTTTAAATGCCTACTATGTCCTCAGCACTGAGCTAAACACTTTGCAAATCTTATCTCATTTAATCTTCACAGCTTCCCTGGGAGGTAAGTGCTACTATTATCCCCACTGTAACATTTAAGAAAAAGGAAGTAGAAGTTAAGTGACTTTCTCAAGATCACACAACTGGTAAGTGGTTTGATTTGAACTTATGTGTTCCTGACTACAGGCCCAACACTCTAACCATTGCACCACTTAGCTGCCAAAGGATTAGAAAAGAAACTAAAGTTATCAAAATATTAAAAACAAAAAGAAAAAAGAAAAAAAAAGTTCAAAAAGCCCAGATTAAGCAGCCTTGCTTTAGAAAAGGAAGAGAGCTTGGGGGCACTGAGCATCTGATCCAAAGAAGGAGAGGAAAGAAAAAGGGGAGGCCATCCCTAAAGATGCATTTCTGGGAAATTACAAGCAAAAATTTTGCAAATTAGAGTAGGCGAATCCTATGGTGAACTGTTTTTCTTAATCTACCTTGCACAACCTCCTGCATGATACAGGAGTCCTCACTGGTTCCTGCCAGGTGATAGGGATGGATCACAACATCAAAGATGTAGAGCTAGAAATGATCTTTTTTTTTAGGCAACTGAGGTTAAGTGACTTGCCCAGGGTCACACAGCTAGTAAGTGTCAAATGTTTGGTCTGAGGACACATTTGAGCTCAGGTCCTCCTGACTTAAGGGCTGGTGCTCTATCCACTGTGCTACCTAGCTGCTCCTATAAATGATCTTAAAAGTCATCTGGTTCAAGTTTCTCATTTTACAGATAAATCAACCGAATTCCAGAGAGGACATATAATTTGCCCAAGGTCACATAGATATTAAGCGGCAAAGTCAGAATGTGAACTCAGGCCTGGTGGCTTCTAGTCAGCTCTTTACATTGCACTATGCTGCCATCTGTGTTCCAGGTGAACTCACTCGTTCCATTCCTGGACTACTAGCATTATTCAGATTTTCTCCTCATTTTTCGGTCTGAAACCTGAAACCCCCACTGTGATCTCCTGCAAAGCCAAAGGTCATCTATGACAGGCATCTGCTGACCTGGACAACTTAACACTGACTTGCAAATTGAAGGCTAGCAATTTTCAACTGGCTTTGTGTACGTGGACACGTAGCAGTATTTTCCATTTACTTTTCATGCTGTCTCCATAAAACAATATACAAGATGACAGCATATTTGAAGCCATTAGCTCTCCCAGACAAGCAAGCTAATCTACAGAACTGTGAATACTAAGAAAACAGATTTATCACGCACAGTGAAGGAACAATGAATCCAGTGAAACCCTTGTGTTTCTAGTAAGGTACACTGCCTGGCCCCTTTGGAGCCAAAGAACCAATTCATTCTGTAGCTTTTAATTCTCAAAAAGCAAATACATTTGACACAATGCTTTCCAAAATAAGCAAATTTAGTCCCAGTCTCCTTGAATGCTGACCAGTAAGGAGTCATACACAAAGACAGATCATATAGTTAGAGCTAAAAGGTGCCTAAGAGGTCACTTGGTTCGACTCCCTTCTTTAACAGATGAGGAAACTGAAGCCCACAGAAGCCAAGTATCATAGGCAGGATTTGAACACAAACCTTCCAGGACTCCAGGTCCAGGGCTCTATCCATCACACCATGCTGTTCTTAAACAAATGCTTGAGTCAAGCCACAATTCCTAGCAAAACACCTCTAAAAATGTTGTTCAGTTCCAAGGCAATGTTGCCCTGGATCCCCAGATTGGCTGCCTGGTGATCTCAGGTCTTTCAGATCTCTCTGGTCTGTAGTTAAGGCCTGTGCTGCCCTCAAGGTCTTACCCTCCCATCAAAGACTGGTACAGTATCTCTTGGCATTTCAATGAATATCAACGATAACATCTGACTGCCCAAGTCCCTGCCCGTTGATTTGCAGACAGTGTGCCCAATGCTACACGTAAAAGAGCTATGGAGAATACTGCTGAGACCAGGGAAAACGACTGTCAAGTAAGCTCCCTTCTCCTTTAGGGTAACTATAGATTGTTTGCTCTAGAAAGCTCTCATATCCCTGTTGCTCCTAGGGTTTATAAAGGCAATCTTCTAACCAACACAATCAGAGGAAGTTAAAAATGTCTTGTGGAACTGCACATATTTTTAAAAAGAAGCTACCAGAAAAGACAGAACCCCCTACACAGCTCTAGAGAAAGATAATATACAGTGAAATGTGGCTGGTAATTTGGGTTACTTTGATGGAGTGTAGAGCTACGGCAAGGATCCTCCTTCCTCTAGCCCCACAGCAGGGGAAAGGGATGTATTCATAAAATAACCCAAACAGCAAAAACACACCCACTATTTGCCCGCCAAAATTCTGCGCTATGTCAGCTTCTTGTAAGGGATTCCTTAGCTGTGTTTTAGATTTATTCAGCTAGACAATTAAAGAGTCATAAATTATACATTTAAATGAGGCAAAAGCCCCTCATTTGTCTTTATTAAAGATGTGAGTCTGCATAAGATGGAAAAACAATGAAGAAGATACACTTCTTCCTCTAAGATGCTCAATTGCATTTGGGCAATGATGGCATGCTCCTCTTGCCTGTACAATTCAAAAATATGAAGCCTCTTAATGTATGTATCTCCCTATAAAAAAAGAAAGGGTGAATTCCAAATGTCAGTTTAGAAAAAGAGTACCATGCTCAAACTAAATGAACTGTATCTCCCTTAGGTATTTTCAGCCTTATAGTGACAGTCCTCTGGCTAAGATCCCACTGCCACAAATACCATTACAAAGAAGAGTTCCATATAACAAAAGCTATCTCCAGGCCTCAGGGCTTTGTGGAGCTGGTTAAAAAAACAAATAAAAAAATTACTGCAAGGAAACTCAGAGCTTCTTTGTATATTGTTTGCATAGTGGGAGGGACAAGAATCTTCAAATCTAAAAGTTAGAAGGGCCCTGAGAGATCAACTAGTCCAACCCTGTCACTTTATAGAGGACAGAACAGAGACCTGGCAAAGAAGGGGTAGTGATGTCCCTTAGGCATGCAGGGAGTAAAGCTTTTCAGCTGGGCCTGGTCTTTGGAATCCCTGCCTAATGTCTTAAAGGAAAATTACCTGAACTCCTAAATTACCCATGAAAACACATGTGCAGGGGCTGCTAGGTGGCTCAGTGGATTGGGCACTGGCCCTGAAGTCAGGAGGACCTGAGTTCTAATCTGACTTTAGACCAAATACTTGACACTAGCTGTATAACCCTGGGTAAGTCACTTAACCCCAACTACCTTAAAAAAAAAAGGCAGCTTGGTGGTTCAGTAGATAGAGCATCGGCCCTGGATTCAGAAGGACCTGAGTTCAAATCTGGCCTCAGATAAATAACACTTACTAGCTGGGTGACCCTGGGCAAGTCACTTAACCCTATTGCCTAGCCTAAACAAAACAAAACAAAAACACACCACATGGGCACTTGTCCCTCGTGTTCGTGGGCACACACACATACATCTCCTCACACCCTCTTACCCCTGAACTATGGGGACAACATGGGAAAGTGGTAAGAAGAGCCCTGGGTATGAGGTCAGAAGCTTCGAGTTTGGATACTGGCTTTGCCACTCACTACTTGGGTGACCCTTGGGCAAGTTTGGGCCTGGTTTCAGAATCTGTAAAGAGGGGGGATGCTGGACTAGATGACCTGCAGGGACTCTTCCAACTCTACATCCGCAATCCTGTGGTCCTGTCTACCAACATACAGAACTAGAAGGGAAAACAAGTGGGGCAGTGCTTAGATTGTGACTTTTCCTTTTCTCCTCCTATTCCTCTCCGAAGGAGAGTTGTTTCATCCCTTGATCCGGCAGACTGACAATGTGCTTTCTAGCAATGTATTTACTTAACAAAATGCCATTCCTACAAAACAAAATGGAGTTTCCCTTGCCTGTGCCAAAACACAAACTATAAATGAACTTAAAAAAACCCTACTATTTCCTATTCTTTGCAAATTAAGCTTAATTTGATCTGAATGCATTGAGGTTTTTTGCATTTAAAAATTGACATTAAAGAACACAATATTACTCAGAGCCGGATACCTTTTTAGTTCTATCTAATTTCCTTCCATTTTACTGTATTGATTGTCAATGACTTCCCTCCACTTTAAGCAATCTACTCATCTAATATTTGCTAACCATAACCCAATTGTACATATGTTAACCTAATTATGTGCTGAGACACATTTGTCCTCAGGCCTCCCACAGAGCATTCTCCTCCAGGTGAAATGATTCCGGACCACTAAAACAAAAACACAGATACTGCTATATATATCCAAAAACCAAGGTACATCTAGGGGGAAAATCTCGCTTCACAATTCAGAGAATCCTAATGTAACAGAGCTGGAGAAAATCTCAGAGAAGGGAAAGTGTGGCCCACCCTACTTTAAAATAAGGCAAAGATGAAACTTCAAAGATATTAAAGTAAACCAAAACAATCGGGCTGTAGGCTCAGAGGGGGATAAGGGCCTTCATCACATTTAAGCTTCCTTGATTCCTACCTCCTTACTCTTTCTACCATAATCATGCTGCCTTCCTTAAAGTGTACAGTTTGCACCCCATACAACTATTTCCTTTCATTCTCTTATTGGTCATAAATATCCTCTAAGGAAAAGGGTAGGTTCAGATTCTTAACATCTGGCCCGCTTGCATTAGCGATACAAATGCTTAGATTCCTTAAGTCTGGCCAATATGGTGGATTCTTTAAATCTCACCCATCCCCATTCGACGTTCCTAATAAACCTTGTCTTTGGCTGAAAAAAAAAAAAGAGTAAGCTAGGGAAATCAGAGTAGGTCATTGCAGAGATCAGGAATCTCTGGATTTGAGTTGGAGGGGACCTCAGGGGTCACCTAGCACCACTCCCTCATTCTAAAGATGAGCACCGTGATACACAGATGGGGTCAGGTCCCTCACCAGAGTCACCTGGCTAACAGGTAACGGAGGTGTGATTTAAATCCACACCTTACTGTGCTCATCCATTATCCTTTCCACTGGACTAAGAGAAGCCCCCCATTTTGCAGAATATGATAATAAATAACTTGTCCATAATCACACAAAGGTTGTAAGTAACACAGGGAGGATTCAAATCCAGGTTCTCTGCCTCTACCATATCATGCCAGTGATTATCCGTTTGCTGCCCAGTTAAAGTGCTGAGTGAGCTCTCCCTAAGGTATAATTCAGTTTCCCTCCCCCTTGCTTCCACAATGCCATAGGTCCCTGAGGTCAGAACTCAGAGGGGGTCTTAGGGCCACTATTCTGTAAGGGTCAGGGTCAGGCCAGGACAGGGCAGAATTTGTCTTTTGCTGCCCTCTTGTGCTTGATTCCCTGGACAGCTGTACCACTAATACCTGGAGCAGGGCTTGCTTCCAGAGGAAGTGAGTGAGGCTGCCTCTGCCCCTGCCTGCAATCCCATGGGCTCTTTTTTGCCTCTGCTAACATTCCCAGGTTGCCAGTGGCCCCAGTGAGCAAGGCCAAGTGGCCACTTCCCTTTGATTCTCTGCATTTCAGAAGGCAACATCATTTCTTTTTTAAGGTGATCAGTGATGAAATGATTACCCTTTTTCTTCTTTTTCTTCTTCATCTTTCTCTTTTCATCTTTCGGTATTAAGCTCTCGATCACATCATCGATGTTTTCCAGGGTGTCATTCTGACTAAGCAGGATCTTGGTGACCTCCGAGTTGCCTCGTAATTTGTTAGTGAGCTTGCTGCAACAATAAAACCCCAGGTGAGACCCTCATCTCAAAACTAACGGCACACTCCCAGCAGTTTTTCCTGCATCTCCTTTTCTATATGTCCGCCTGATTCTTGTAAATCCTCTTTCAGATGCCATAGGGTATGCGACTAGTCATCTAGGCAAACCTGACTGAAGTGCCTAGCAGGGGCACCAGGCATGGTGCTAACTGCCCTTGCCCTAAGGAATTCTCATTCTACTACTCCACCACAATGGTTGTACTGAATGGAATGGAATTGTACCAATTCATTTGTTCAGTTGCTATTGAGTCATTCTGAGTGCCTAGCAGGTGGGGAACCTGCAGCTTCAGGCCACAAATGGCCCTCTAGGTCCTCGAGTGTGGCCCTTTGACTAAATCCAAACTTCACAGAACAAATCCTTTTATGAAGGGGATTTGTTCTGTGAAGTGTGGATTCAAAGGGCTGAACTTGAAGATCTAGCAGACGACAGGTGGCCTCGAGGCTGCAGGTTCCCCACCCTGGCATAAATAGGTCCTACAGAGGATACAAAGGTGAACACAGTCCCTGGCCCCAAGAAACTTACATTCTAAAGGGACTTGGGAAGAGGTGGGACACAGGGAAACAACACATTTAGAGATAAATCAATTCAAAACATATATAAATATAAAGTAGTTGGGAGGATTGGTGGGAAATCAGGAAATATAGGAGAAGCCACATGTAAGAAGTGGCACTTGAGATAGGCCCTGAAGGAAGCTAAGGGGCAGAAGTAAGGAAGGAGTGTATTCCAGACACTGTGGAGAGCTTGGACAAAAGTGCCGAGGCAGGAGATAATATACTGTGTACAGGAAAAGAATCCACAGGCTGGTATCTCTGAAATATGGAATAGGAATTCAATGTAAAAAGACTGGGCAGGACTTTAGATGCCAAACAAAAGACTTTGGATTTGATCCTGGAGGCAATGGGGAGTCACTGAAGCTTCTTGAATAGGGCTGTGACACATTCAGCCCTAGAGTTTGGGAATTTCACTTTGGCAGCTGTGTGGAGAATGGACTACAGAGGGGAGAGACTGAGGAAAATAAAATCTCTCCTGAAACAAACTCATAATGATTACAACTATCATCACTAGCCCTTACAGAAAAGCTAGGCTGCAACTCTAGCGATTCCTCAAAGCCCAGCATCTCTAGGAAGCATCCCTTCTCTGACCACCTCAGCTAACTCATTTTCTAGCAAAACTGCATGACTAGAAAGTCCCCCAAGTACTTCCATTTCTTGGCTTTAACTCATTTGGCACATGGCATATGTTGCCTTTTAGCAGATGGTCTTGATTTCCCCATAAAGAAGCACAGGATACAGAATGAGGAAGGCAATGGATGATCCTAATATCCCGTGCCTGAAATGACCACATCTAGTACACTGTGTTTGGACTGAAACACCCCATTTTAGGAAGGACAGATACAAACGACGCGGAAGGGGTGAGTCAAGAGAAGTGAAATCAGGATGATGAAGGATCTAGATAGGCTTGCTCTGGAGAAAAGAAGACAGAATGTTCCAAAGAAGAGGAAGTACATTTGTTCTGCCTGGCCCAGGAGAAATGGGAAAAAGTTACAGAGAGGTAGATTTTGGTTCAAGAGAAAGAAACATTTCCTAACAATGGGAACTACCCCAAAGTGGAAGGGGCAGCCTCGGGAAGAATGGTTTTCCAGCAGAAAGTGCATGAGCACTTGTCAGAGATGCTAGGTGGGCTAGCCCACAGATGAGATGGGCTGGCCCCGTGGGGCAAGTAGAGAGCATGTCTTCTTCCCCTCTCTCTCCACCCCTCTCAGTGGCCATGCCAATAGGCGCCTGCTGACTGGCTACTTGGCAAACCAAAGACCTGGAAGTTTTGGATGTAACAAGTGTATGCACCTAAGGAAAAAAAAATGTTTTGAAAAGTGGCCATGGCAGAGGTCAAGGAAAAACACAGAAAAGAAGAGAGGGAAAAAGAAAACTGTTTAACCTAGTGAAGGACAATGGGTGAAGATCTTACAGATCAGGTGAAAAAAAAATAACCCCAGCACTCAATGCCCAGCAACATAGAGAAGCCACTTTTCACAGGAGAGACTCAGACTGCAGAAAGTGAAAGGCAGGCAGCACTCTTCTCTGGGGGGGGGGTGCGGGTGTGGGGGTATGGAGGTGGGGGGGGCGGGGAGAGGACCTTACAGGCCATCTCATTCAACCCCCTCTCTTTACAGAGGAAGAAACTGAGGCTCAGAGAGAAAATGCGCCTTGCTGAAGGTGACATGGCTCCTCAGGGGAGGGATTGGGAAGCCAACGCTGATTCCCAATCCAGTGCTTTGGTTTCCCAAGGTGCAACTTATTTTCCTCCAAATTCCTATACTGAAGAGCCACCAGGATACCCTGGATAAAGAAGTAACCCTAAGAAACAGGATTTCTGGCAAATCATCATAGGAGCATCTCTAGATCTAAAAGAAGCCATGAGGGGTGGCATGGCAAAACAAAATGCTTTTTATCTCTGGACTCTTTACGTTGCAGGGAAATTCAATGCACTTTAAAAGGACATGTGCCAATGTCTTTTTCACTGCTGGGTCTTTCAGGCAGCATGCTGCCTTCCCCCCCCCCCAAGCTTTCCTGTCCCAAGGAGCTGCAGTTGTGCACACAGACGAAGAGTCTTCTGAATGCTAATGTCCGATGACAGAACTCTGAGATGACTGTCAGCATGTGAGGGCACAGACAGCCAGGGATGGATTCCTTTGTTAGCAGCATCACTAGCACCTCAGAAAACACTTCATATTCATCTTTTCATTTGATACTCACAAAAGCTCTGCAACGTACTTAGGTACTTAGCACAGGAATGAATACTGCCATTGGAAGAAACTGAGGCTCAGAGTAGCAAATAAACTTCTCCAGAGTGATCCAGCTAGTGAGTATCAGAATCAGGATTTGAACTCACGTCTTCCTGACTCCAAGTCCCCCCCTCTGTCCCCTATGCTATGCTGCCTGTTCTTTATGTAACTAGTTGCCACAGAATGGCCTTGTCATTAATTTGGTTCCAAAGTTCACAGGAAATACCGCAGAGGATGTGGTATTTTTACACATTTTATATACAGGAAATTAAATAGAGAGATACCTAGTAGAGGTAGTTTGCAATGAGGATAAGGATTCTAGTGAGCAACTACAAAGTATTTAATTTACAAAGTGCATTAATAAAAGGTAAAGAGGATCTAATTATTCGGGCCTGGTGTCCAGTGAGAGAGAGAGAGAGAGAGAGAGAGAGAGAGAGAGAGAGAGAGAGAGAGAGAGAGAGAATTGAGGGAGAATTGGGATGCCTTACTCTTGGAGAATGGATGACCCACCCAAACACCCTGCAGGGCTGGGTTAACATTTCAGTCCAACTCTCCACCAACAGGGGCATTCTAGCTGACTCTCCTCCAAGAAGAGAATAGTGAATTACTTTTGAAGCAGGCACGATCCCCCTAATCTCTGCCATTCAGAAACCCTCATCTATTGCCTTGTTTTCAGGGCTCTACAGTCAACTGAAACAGCAGTAATCACTGGCCACGGCCCACAGGGAGCAAGGACTAGGTTCTTGGTGGTCATATGTAAATATTGCAGAGAGCACTATAGGCAAAAGCTGAGGGGATGCTAGGCAGCTGGAAGAAGACATGTGATCAAGAAACAAGTAGTCCTATCAATGCATGCCAGTGCAACCAAGGCGATACCAGCAGAGGGCAATGAGATCACCACCTGCAAAGTCTCAGAAAGAGGCAGATCACTAAAGCCATGGGAGTAGATGAGTCTGCTAAGGGAGCAAATGTAGAGAAAAGGGTGGGCTGAGGACAGAACCTGGAGGCACACCCACACTTTGGGAGCAGGTAGAAGAAGAAAAGCCAGTAAAAGAAGCAGAAAAGGAGCAGCCAGACAGACTGCACCACAAGGGTGCAGTATCATGGAAACCAAGGAATTAGAGAGGATAAGGTAGCGAAAAGCCAAGAAAAACTACGACCAAGAATAGACCATTAGATTCAGTAATTAGGGAGCCAGAGAAAGAACACATTGAGTATGAGTAAACCAGAATGGGAAAGGCTGGGGAGGATGCAGAAGTAATAAGAGTAATGATAACAACAACAATAACTACCATTTATACAGTGCTTTAAGGTTTGCAAAGCACTTTATAAATATTATATCATCAGAGCCTCACAACAACCCTTGGGAGGTAGGTGCTATCATCATCCCCATTTTACAGTTGAGGAAACTGAGTCAGGCAGATAGTAAATGATTTTCCAGGGTCACACAGATAATAGGTATCTGAGGTAATATTCGAACCCTGGTCTTCCTGACTCCAAGTCACTTTATGGCCTCATCTTAGTGCTTTAATTTTTTCAACCCTCAGAACAAAGTTGTGAAGAAGGTAGTATAAATATTATTTTTCTCTCTACAGATGAATAAACTGAGACTCAGACAAGTGAGTAACTCGCCCAAGGTCACAGAGCTAACAAGTATTAAAAGTCAAGATTTGGTACAAGATCCTTTCCCTTCAAAGCCAGTGCTAGAACCTGGATTTGGACCCAGGTCTTCTGACTCTGGTCTTAGTGCCCTCTCTAATAATAGACCTTCTACCATACTCGAATATCCTGCTCTGTTCTCAGGAGCCTCATGATGGAACCATCTCATATGGGAAACTGACCTTTACTTCAGTAATTGAACTGCCTCAGATGAGGCGAGAATTTCACACTATAACATGAACTGTTATCACCAGGCTCCAATGTACTCAGATTGTGAGCAAAATGTTCTTTTACAATATTTCTCTAAAACTAGCACTGTGTTGAGAATTGGGAGGATTTTCTTTTCTTTCCCTGAAAGCTAGACTTAGAAAAACAGCTAGGCCTGGAAACTGGAAACCTTTTAGCAGGTGGTGAATGACCAGATCCAGGGTTTCCAAAGAACATCTCCGGTCATATTACAGAGTTCGGTAAAACACACAAACACGAAGAACATTGTGTCCTATCCCCAAATGCAAAGGATAATGATTTTTAGGCCACTTTTATGACTCCTTTCTACTAATGTTTTTTAACCCCCTCTCTCTCTTTGCCTTCCCATACTCTAAGAAGATAGGTCCTCTGTGAGCAAGGCTATCTGTATACCAGAATCTACAAATTATAATACAGAAACTCACACCATGTTATATATCTCAGAGGGGACATTTTTCATAGATCATCACTAGACAAGCGCCATTACTGTCCAGGTTTGGGAGGGGGGCATTCGTGCTAATTCTGCTAATTCTTTCCAAGTCCAACAGATCACGTACAATCTTAAAAACCAGTGCTGTCATCTCTAGACTTAGTGCAAATTTAGTAATTCAGTCTCCTGGGAAGAAAACAGAATTCTGGAAATGCATTTCTTTAAGTATAACCAATCCACAATCCCAGCATTTGCATTTAAAAATCATCTCATAAAGCCATCAGTCACCAGTAGTACCTTATCAGTGTATACAAACAGAGCCCATAGAGTTAATACCAATTGTTGCACTTTATCTAAAAACAGATAAATGTTGAAAAGGAGGTGGCCCCTAAGATAATCAGTGGGGCTCCCTCTTCCTTCCCATGACCAGCTGGCTCTCTCTGCTTTCTGTCTGCTAGGGGGATGGAGAGCTGGACCATGATGGGCTAGCTAGCTTACAAGTACTTACTGACCCCAGCTAGTGGACAATGAAGAGAGACTTGGGATCAATTTCAGGATGCTTTTGGGGGGGGGCAACTGGGGTTAAGTGACTTACCCAGGGTCACACAGCTAGTAAGTGTCAAGTGTTTCAGTCTGAGGCCCGATTTGAACTCAGGTCCTCCTGACTTCAGGGCCGGTGCTCTTTCCACTGTGCTACCTAGCTGCCCCTGAGGATGCTTTTTTAGACCATAAGATTAAGACATTGGCATTGAATTTACACAGGCTCCATTTTTCTACATTTGCAGACAGTCCATATTGGCACAATTTCCCTGAGAAAAGAGCACCAAGTATGAACACAAGGCAGAGGTGAAATAACAGATAACTTAGGCAGCAAAGCTCTGCTGGGAGATGACAGTTAAAGGGATTGATTGCACTGAAGAAATCCCCACATAGATACGCTTAAATTACAGGCCTCACCTACTCTCAGAGCAAGACTCTTCCTCCCTCTTCCTCAACTGCTCTTAAAAATCCTCCCTAGGCCTCAGGGCTTAGTTCTAGTCTTCTAAGAAACTTCCTTAGGCAATGGCAAGCCACCTGAATGCCTTCCTTGTCTCCAAACTGGGAGGAAAAGCATTTTGCTGTCTCTACCTCACATGTGAGCACTCAATCATCTCCCCTCATACAGTGTATTACGATAAATCCTTTGGAAATAGAGCTAATATGCGCTCTACAAATGCAGATATTGTGTTGGGCTAGGAAAGACACGTAAAGGCAATGAAATAGAAGAGCTTTTTCAAAAGAGCATGCTTATTATACAAACGTCATGGAAACACTACTTTCAGGGATATCAAAAATGCCTACAGGTTGCCACCTTAATCCCCATGCTTTGGAGCCCACAAGTGACTCTACCTGACAGAAAGAGATCCTCTCACACTGGAAGACTAAGAAATTAAAGAATAGACTTGCATGCTTGTTTACCTTTCTTGGCAACTGACGCAGCAACAGACAGGAATGCAGGCCAGTAGAATCAAGCAGACAATCCCAAAGATAAACAAGCGAAGGGTCAGCTGAATGACTGTGTTGGGCAAAGAACAGGGCCTGTTAACACCTTTGCGACTTGAGCGAGGCACCGTAAAATCTTTGGAGAAAACCGTCAACTTATGAAACTGAAGGAGGAGACATCCTTGTTTCATGACAAGGGATAACATATGTGCCGGTGAAGTAGCACAAAGTGGCTTTCCGGTATGCAGCTCAAGGCTGCCCTGTAAAAACGCGGCTCACCAAAACGGCAAGCTTTTTTTAAAACTGAGGTTATTTTTTCTCAACAGATTGTGATTCATCGTAGGCATTCCCTCCTAGGGCTACGCGTCTGCTTTCTTTTTGGACATATGCTATACATCCCAGGGCATTCAAGTAGCTAACTCATCTCTGAACAGTTAACTTGGTAAAGTAATGGCCTCTTAAATGTTGACTTCCAAACTGTACCCCATTAAATTAATCGAGGAATCAAGTAGCTGCAGCTGACCACAAATATTCCGACTTTCATTCTTTTCAAAGCACGTTCTAAAAGAGCTGGGGAACTGTCACTCCCAGCACAACTTTTTTCTTTCCCCATAAAATACAAAAACCATACTGATAAATGAATAACAAATACTATGTGACAGTGTTCAACTTGCAATCTTATAGTTACGACTAAGGTACAGTTTCCATTATCAACGCTACATGGTCAACAAAGAATTGGGACGTGAAGAGTGACTGTGAACTTTTTAAAGAAATGATTTCACATGGGACTTGTGGCATTAAATCCTCAAGTACTGGGAACTGGTCCTGTGCCCTCACTATTCTGAGGAAATGTCCAAGAAGCTTGACCAAAACCAGCATGTTGTGGTGAAAGGACAGTGGCCTTGGCACAAAGAGAGCCTGCATTTGTGAACCTTGGCAAGTTGCTTCACCTCTCTGAGATAAGTCTCCTCATCTATAAAATGGGTATAATGACATTTCCCAGGGTGGCTGTGGGATCAAATAACAAATGTATTTTGCAAACCTTAAAGCACCATATAAGTGTTAGGCATTATTATTATTATTGTTGTTGTTGAAAAATATGCAATTTTAAAATTGCTTCTTTAATACTCCTCCTAGTTTTATAGGTAGGAGCACTCCCCTTCCTCCTGGCAGAACGTGGCCTCTCTCTAATTTAGCAGATAGGCTTTGAGAGGTGCTATGGCCAACAAATTCATCACCCGAAATGACTCTGGGATTGAGCTTCTCTGCACTCAGTCAACCAAATCCTCAGCCAGGAGACACAGTCTGGTAATAGGCTCAAGAGAACAACAACAAGAAAAACCAATGTTTAGAGAGTGCTTTCAGGTTGGCAAAGTGCACAACAGAGGGAGCACTGAATTTTGAGTTTGGGGATAAGGCTTTCAATTCCAGCTCTCTAGGTGACCTTGGGCAAGTCATTTCCCTTTCCTGGGCCTCAGTTTTCTCAACTGTAAAATCTATGATCTTACTTAAAAATACAAAAGCTACTTGAAAACAAAGACTGTTTCCTTTAGAGTTTTGTCTCCCAGCACTGTCACACCAGTGCCTTGCACATAAGTGTTGAATAACTGTTGAATTAAATTAATAATAATAACTGACATTTCTGTAGCATTTTAAAGTTTACAAAGTGTTTTACATGCATTCTCTCATCTGACCCTCACGACAATTTTGTGAGAGAGATACTATTATTATGTCCATTTTACAAGTAAGGAAGTTGAGGATCAGAGAGGTTAAGTGAGTAGCTACCAAGTGTCACAAGCAGGATTTGAATCTAGGTCTCTCCTGACTCCAAGTCCAGTACTATCCAGTATGCCATGTTTCCTCAGAACAGAATTAATAATATATAGGTTGGTAGGGCTTGCCAGAGCCTTGCTCCTCTAGCATATCACATGCAATGAAGCATCAGAAGAGAACTTTAGTGGAAAAATTTTAAAACCAAAAAATACCTCCTTTCTTCCCCCCAGCTCCCACCACAAAAACAAAACAAAACAAAACAAAACAAACCAGTCTGTGGAAAATCTAAGTCAACCCTCCCATATAATACTGATCCAGGTTTCACTCAAAGACATGGAACGTGTGCAATGTAAATGCATGTAAAAATGGTAATTTCCTGGAAGGCAAAAATAGTTCTATTCCCAAAAGCCTAAAAAGCTTGAAGCTTGAGACAAAATTATGGGAAAATCCAAAGCAAGAGAAAGTAATGGTGGCTGGGAAGCCAGCTCAGAAAAATCATCCTTACTCTCAAGTATGTGCTGAGGGCATTTCTGGGGACAAAAGATTTAGAACTAAAAGGAGCCTTGGAGATTATCAAGTCCAACCCTCCTCATTTTACAGAAGAACTGAGGCTCAAAGAGGGAAAGTGACTTGGCCAAAGTCACTTGGGCAGTAAGTGGCAGCACCAGGATTCGAATCCAGGTCTGCAGAGTCCAAATCTGGCATTCTTTCCATTTCACCACACAGCCTCCACCATGGGTCTGGACACAACAGGCTTTTCCAAGGCTATGTAGCTACTCTCTGCCCTCCAAGTGTGGAATACAGAGTCATTCAGCTATTCTTGGGCCCTCTTTGGAAAAAGTAGGATGGTTGAGGCTAACAGTTTAGCTACACAGGCCATAGCATGATATCTATATCCAGAGATTTTTTTCAAGAGAGATAGATAACTTCCTCAGAAAAAAAAAGAACAGCTTTCAAATCTAATCAGTGAGTGCTTCACTTAATTAGGTTACTTTTTGATTGCTTTAACTCTGTGAGGTGGAAAAAAGAAGAATTTAAAAAGGAACAGAAATTGGTGCAAATCATTAGTTTCAACCCAATGTTTCCTGACTCATTTGAACATCATTCTTGACCTTTTGCCATATCCTGATTCAGGGGATCAAATGGAGAATAGGCATCTAGTACAAGGACAAATTGTCTCAAGCCAGGAGGATGCATGCATTTCTACTGAAGATTCCCTCACAAGATAAAGTATCACCCCAAGTGCCATGGAGACAGGAGCAAGGGCAGGAAGAAAGAGACTGAAAGTGAGAGCGAGAGAGACAGATAAACAGAGAGATTTGTCATTTCTTTCCAAATCAGAGGCCCTTGTTTTATGAACTCACTGCATTTGAAAAATCACACACACTATTCCTATTGTTACTACTTAATCCACCCAAAATACTGGAGAGAGTTCTACTTCACTTGCTTTTGGACCAGTTCCCAGTTTGTACATTAAGAAGGAATTAATAAAAATGGAATGTGCCTGAGACTTGAGGGGAGATTGTGCAAAATTCTGACTGGGCGCCCAGAATTTAAACTTTGATCATGGAAATAATTTCTGCATTTTTCTCAGCTAGATCCATACCAACCATCTGAAGACGAGCTTACCATCTACTAAAGGAGTGTGGCATGTTATCTTATCATTTTCTCCTTGGAAATAGCAGCAGCCAAATTTCAAACACATGGCTTGACTAAGATTCTTATTTCCATGACATGCCTCGATGCTCTGTCCACCCCTCGGCCGGCAAGCTTTTAGAGACAGAAATTCAAGAGAGATTTTTAGCCATAGTCATGAATACCTCATCCCATTCGAGTAACTATTATGATCCAAATGTCTCCCAGAGCCAACAACAAATAGAAAGGAAAGTTCATCTCGCCCAATGAAAGAAAACAGCAAAATGATTGTTGAAATAATAGTTAAACTAAAAATTAAAAGCAGGCCATCTCAGATCAGATGTCTCCTACTAGATGAATTTACAGAGGATGCATGAGTTGTCAACAGATTAAGGATAAAGTTATCTTCCAAAGACATGCCCTGAATGGTGTGGGCTATAGTCACATGTCTTTAGAAATAACTCAGCTTAGAGATCCCGATTTGGATTCATCGGTAGGAAGAATACCTGGACTTAGAGGAAGAATGCAATCTGCAAACATGGCATGCCAAAGAAGAGCTAAAGGAAGACCATGAAGACCATGGCCTTTCCAAACTTGGAGATCGACATCTGCCCAAAGAGGAGAAGATGGTTTTCTCGAGACTGCCTTTCAGGTCAAGGATGCTATACTTCAACATGATCATTTTTTAACCCACAAGAGACTGACAAAGAGACTATTAAAAGGGAAGCAGCAGCAGATGGGGGAAGAGTGTTCATTGTTCATTCTAACTCAACACTTTGACACAAGTTTTAAGCTTAGTAAAATGCTTTTACATATACTGTCAATTGTGGAGGGGGAGATAATAATACATTTATGTAAGCTTTAAAATATGACGAGCACAGTACACGTGTTATCTCATTTGATTCTTGGACACACTTGGTCGATTTAGGACAGCAAATGGCATTTTAAACCATCTGATCATTAAAATTTTCTTAAGATTTGACTCATACCACATTCTATGCTTTCCTTGAGATGGGACAGCTGGATTTTATTATATGTCAGCGTTGGGCCAGAGAATCAAATTTGGAGTTCCAGTTTACAGTGGCTGTTTCCACACACTTCAGAAACACCAATCTCCTGCGAAAATCCTGTGATCAAAGCCGTTTCTGATGCAGACAGGGCAAAGCTGTGTATATGCCAGAGGACAATTTACCTGAACCGTGGGATAGCCATGGACATGCAAAGTGGCTACCTCTCAGAGCCTGCAAGGCTAAATCATCGTCCTCAGTTATTACTATCTCTGGCATGGAGCTGCTCACTACAGGAAAAAACCAGTTTGATTTTGGCATATGCCACATACCACCCTCTAACTAGGTGATATTGTAGACATGTTTTGGACTAGGAAACAGGGACACAGATACATGAAATAGATCAGGCCAAGGTCACAGACTGGGGCAGTGTTTAAAGCTGGAATAGAAACAAAGCAATTGATGGAATGCTCTGTTAACATACTAATGGCTTCCAATTATTTTTGGCATATCTTTGCATAATTTTAAATAACTGATTTATCTTTGTAATTCACATGGCAGCATTTATGGTGATTCTCCTTGAAGGGACACCAAATGTGTTCCAACAGGGGAAATGTCTCATTGTGGTTAATCATTCTCAGGGGGCCGTTGCAGGCCTGAGAAACACATTATGTACAGTATTACAGAGAAATGCTGGGAGATGAAATTTGACCTTTAAAAAAAAAAAGATCAGCAAGACAGATGGAAAAAACATCTGGTCTAGTCCATAACATCAGAGCTTCCCAACACCTGGCCAAATGCCACAGAAGGCTCATATTTCGCAAAACCTGGGACAACTGACTGAATCTCAGGCTCTGTTCCAAAGGTCAATCATTGGGGAATGGCTTAGAGTTACTGCCAGACAGCTACAGAAGGGCAGATTTAATTCAATTCAACAATTTGATAAACATTTTTAACTGCTTGCTATGTGCTAGGCACAGGCAGGATAGCAAAGTCCAAGTGCTTTAGGACACTTACTCCTTGGGTAGAAGAACTGGGTTGTACCACCTTGTGGTCCTCCTAACATAGCTTCAGATTCTTCAAGAAAATGCCCATTCTTCCTCAAAATGTGTCCAAATGGTACTGCAAAACCTGAAAGCACTCGAGAAATTTGGTTATTTGGACCTAATATATTGAAGCATTTATTACTTTTAATGACATTTTAATAGTAAATACTTTTCTTCATGAGGACATCAAAAGTAATATTAAGAGAGATATCAGATTTGAAAAGTGTGTTTAAATACACCTCACTCTAGTCAGTAGGCTATTTGTAAAACTGAATAGCCAAGTATTATGACAGTTAAACATATTTCCAAATATACAGGACAGAAGGCCAAATTCACTGTTACTCTTATATTTAAATAATTTATAATGATAAAATTTTAAGAGGGAAGACTGATATAACAGTACTGACAGTTATACATATAGCACTCGAAGGTGCGTAAAGCACTTTATATCTACTTTCTTATTTGGGCTTTAAAAAAGCTCTGGAAGGATCACTGTCTCTATCTTAAGAGGAGAAAATTGAGGCCCAGAAAACTTAAGTGACTTGCCCCAGTTAGACAATTAGTAAGTGTCAAGGCAGGTAACTAAGGTAAAGTTGCAACTCACAAATGATACTTCTCTTATTTATTTATCAAAGTGACAACTTAGAGACAAGAGGATCAGAGGTTTTTGAGTTATGTGTTTGAGCTCACGGCATTATCGAAGTCCAGCTGAGCCTCTGATTTTTCAGAGAAAGAAACTTGGGCCTAGGGGGGTGAAGGGACCAGCTCAAAGTCACACAGCTATGAAGTCGTAGAACAGAAATCTGAATCCAAGCCCTTCGCTTCTAAATCCAGGGGGTTCCCCACTTTTCCATGTTGCTGGTCATCTATTAGCTACAGTAAATCCCCATCAGAAGTACTCTTGGCAGAAAGGTCTGCCTCCTGCTTCATTGAGGAAGGCCCAGGCCACTCAGTCAATTGCAGCACACTTCTCTTCCCTCTTCCCCATCAAAAAGCATGTCTCCACATCCATTCTGCCAGTCTCACAGTCTCACAGTTCCTCCTTTAAAAGACTAACCGCCTTGCTCCGTGCTCTCAACCTTTGCTGCTCCACACTTGCTCACTTTTCTACTTTCTTTCGTTTTCTTTTTCTCCACTGTTTGTCTAGTGTGTCTTCACACACAGACAAGTTCCACTGATGGCAGATAAAGTCAAGACTGACAGCCTAACAGTGATGGAGGGGCCAGAAGAACAACAAAAAGTGGGCCAACCTCAGAATTTACAAAGCACAGGAGTCTGGGGCCGTGGTGTAGGGAAACCAGAAGGCCCGGGGAGGGCCGCTTTTTAACAGGATGTCATCCTCTCAGGACCTGGGGAGAGGGAGCCGGACGTAAGGCCCAATACAATAATAATGCTCATGCGAATTAGCAAACAAAAAATATTGTGTCCTGTTTATCCTGTTTAAGAAGACAAGAGAGTTAATAATACATTTGAACAATTCCATTATTAAGAAAAAAAATAGACTGCTGACAGTCCACCATTTCCCAACTCAGATCATAGTACAGACTGGCAAAGTATCTAACTGCCTTACTAAGGACAATTCCACTTCCCCAAACCACAGCTCAGATGCTCTCAGTGACTCTGGGGGTGGGACTAGAAGCTGGAGAGGAAGGATCACGGGACACAAGCAGCACAACACCAAGATGAGGAGGAATGAGGTTTATTTATGCTTATACATTTTAGGAAGTAATTATCTTTGGCAGTCATGTATTTTTTGCTGTTCAGTCATGTTGGACTCTGTGACCCCATTTGGGGTTTTCTCGGCAAAGATACAGGAGTGGTTTGCCATTTCCTTCTCTAGCTCATTTTACAGATGAGGAAACTGAGGAAAACAGGGTGAAGTGACTTGCCCAGAGTCACACTGCTAGTAAGTGTCTAAGGCCGGATTTGAACTCAGGATGATGAGTCTTCCTGACTCTAGCTGTCCTCCCCGCCCCAACCTCAGTACTCTACCCTAGCTGTCAGTCAGCTATTATGAATCAGTAAAAATCTATTATGGACTGGGGATGGTTCACTGATCTAGTGCAACGCTATTATTTTACTGGAAAATTAAGGAAACTAAAGCCAAAAAGAGGGGAGTGATTTAACCAAGGTCACACAACTAGTTAGCAGCAGAGCCCAGTACAACACTTAGTTTATGTGATACTTTGAAAGCTTCAGGAAATGGTACTCATTCCACAAAAACTATTCAAAAGCCACTATCTTCCCCATTCACATTATGTGTAATTCTCATCCCAACATTCCATAAGCAGCCCATGCAAGCTCCACCTAACGTTTTCGATGCTTTCTCTTTGGTCTTTCAGTATCTCCAGGCAGGGGTGCCAATGTGACGCTCAGTCTCAGGACAACACTAGCTCACCTCTTTTTTCAGTTATTGCTATCCTTAAGAATGCCTTTTAAACTACTTATTCCAAGCAAGTTATTGTTGGCAGCCCATTTACATCTTTCTATTGCTCTGTGAATCATTTGTCATTTTCACAATTTTCTGTCTTTGGAGACCATATAAAATACCTTAAATCAAATACCTCAAAGAGATTGCCAATTTTAGCAGCAATCATATTAGGATCACTGAAAACAATACTTTTACCCTCCTCTTCCCACTCCATTACAGGCCTAGCTCATTAATTACGTGCAGCAAATATTTGCCAAAAAAAATACAGACTGTGGGCTATTCAAAGAGTTGCCATTTGTCCATTACATAATGGGATGGTCACCTTATTAAACAGAAGTCCACCCATGGCCTTCTGGAGTATGTAGAACTGATTTCCTCTAACCTCATTGGCCCCAGACTCTTGTACTTTGTACATTCTAAGGTCAGTCTACTTACTCCCTCCATCCTTGTTCAGCTATCCATTTTCACTTTCTGTGAAAATATACATTTTCATTGGCGTGAGTTTTCCAGCACGAATGGCTATACTGGCCTCTTTCACATTGCTAAGGAAGCTTTATCGGGTTCTGGACCTTAATGCCATTATCTGCCAACAGAAGCATTTGGAATATTTTACCATCAATAGAGAATCCTTTTATCTGAGAAGGGAGACATCTTGAATGATCTTGGAAAATACTTTGGGTAAATTTCTTCCTGTTTAGTAGCTATGGCAGCAGCTCACATTTACATAGCACTTTAAGGTTTGCAAAGCATTTGACATATATTACCTCCTTTTAATCTTACAACAACTCTGTGAAGTGGGTGCTATCTTTATTTCCATTTTACAGATTACAGGAGCACAGATTTAAAGCTGGAAAGGACCTTGAGAGTCACCTAGTCCAACTCCTTCATTTTATGAGTGAAGGATTGATGGTCAGAGAGATTAAGTGACTTGTCACACAGCTAGTATGTGTCTGGGGCAAGACTAGAACCCAGGTCTTCCTGACTTCAAGTCCGGAATTCTTTCTACTGCAATTCACTTGATGCCACAGGATTCCAGATTTGGAGCTAGACGGGATTTCGGGTCACATTGTCCAACCCCCTCAGTTGAGAAAATGGAAATACAGAGAAGCTCAGGGCCTTGCCCGTAGCCACACAGATAGTAGGTGGAAGGGGTAGGATTCCACTCTAGGTCCTGCGACTCTAGATGGTGCTCTTTCCATTGCTTCATTTTTCCATTGTCTTAAAGACTGCATTCTGTTCTACACCAAGCCTCCTACACTTAGATAGAGCCATGATGTCATTGGGTGGAGGCACTTTGTCAGTGGAGATTATAACTCCTTGATGCCTCCTTGACCCCAGTGATTATTGCCTAATACTTTAATTAAATAGCCAGTTATTAAGTGCCTCCCATATTCAAGGACCTGCTCGGGAAATATAAAAACAAAATCAAAATAGCCCTTGCTCCTTCAAGAAGGAGGAGTTGGATGCATGTTAGGTTTAAAAGGGGGGACAGCTGGTCAGAGTAATATTTTATATTAATAACAGTCAGTCAATAAGTATTTATTAAGCACCTACTATGCACCAGGCATAAGTTCTAGGCATACAAAAAAAGGCACAAGACAGGCCCTGCCCTCGAGGAGCTCACAATCTAAGGGGGGAGACAATATACAAATAAATAACAATGTACAAATAAGCTATATATAAGATAAATTGGAAGTAATTAACAGATCAAAGGGACTAGAATTAAGACAGACTGGGAAAGGCTTCCTGTAGAAGATAGGATTTTAGCAGGGTCTTGAAGGAAGCCAGGAAGGAGACAAGGA